CTGTCTTCTTTAACATTTCCATCCATGATTTTAGCACAATAAGAAACAGTAACGTTGATGAAATTTGCTAATGCCTTGAAGCTGGACAGTATCATAAAATGAGAGGAGGCTTGGATATCCTATTCAAATTACCAGATGAACTTCAGCACCACAGCAGCGGAAATGGAATGAATTTCAATAAAACCATGAACTATATATTTGAGGAAAACAAAAATCAAACACTTGAAACTTTGTTGTTTACAGACCTTATTGTTGACAGAGAGAGAGGCATGTATTTGCCAACTAAACAAAGAATGACTATGAACCACCATTGGAGACAACCATATGAAAAGCAAATGAGATTCTAGGAAGTATTTGCAGTGATGAGACCTTATGAAGAGCCCTGCCTACTGGGCTGGTCACTCATCATAAGAGTGAGTACAACAGGTAGCAGAGGGTGGGGAAGGGGAAGGCTGTGTTAGGAGAGAGGGCTTGCAGCCCTTCACTTGCTCAGCCAAGTGGGGAGCAGTAAAAGGGGTATATATACTTTTTACTTATAACTGTACCACGGCAGTGATTTAGGAACACTTCAGAGAAAGGACAGTGTTGGCACAAACCAATATTTTGCATGCTACATATAAATACACTTATGCTAGGAAATAGAGAGTGCCCCCCTTTTTTGCAATTGTGCTCTCTGGAACAGCTGTTCAAGGACAGCATAAATGAAGAGATTTTCAGGCAGTCCTCATTAAGTTCAGAAAAAGAATTGTAAGAGGTGATTGCTTGTGAAGGCAGGGACCGGGGCCCAGTAGTCCATATATCCAGTGTGGCCCTTTTGTCCTACAGGGAAGAAACAGCTGTCTGTGCTTGTGTACATCCCAGTCCCTGAGAGCTGGGAGAGTGTCCAGAGAGGCTGCTGCCTGCATCAGCTGTCTCCACACTTGCTCTGGATGGTCTCCACGTCATGGCCTGCCCCAGCTGCTGCTGTCCTCTAGGGATCTTCTCCCAGCTTTCATATCCCTCATTGGCATCTGTATTTGTGTAACTGAAGAGAATTTTTTAATTTGCTGCCCTTGATTACTGAAGTCAGGTCTGGTAGTGGTGGAAAGGGACAGGAGTGAGGAGACTGCAAATGGGAAAAAACATCTGTCTTGGTGGTCATCTCTCCCCATCAGAAAAGACTGAATATATCCAGAGGCATAAATGAAAAACAACATATAACCAGTGAAGCCTTGATGCTTGTCAGTATGAAGTGAAGTATCATTAATTGATACAAATTGTTTGTTAAGGAGTGGCTCATTTGTCATGGCTTGCACAGTGCCTTGAATGAAAAAATTCTCAAAGACAGAATAAAACCATTTGCTCTAGTTGTGGAGGAGTCTCTGGAACAAACTGCACATATGCTTTCTAGCTCTGCTTGATGCCTGCCAGAGCAAGACTTTTATCATTCATTTTCTGGTACTAGTACGGATCTTAAATGAGCAACCATCACAGTTGGCAGCTGATGCCAGTTCTGGCTGGGAAGGATGCGAGGAGCTCTAGCGATAGTATCAGTGTTGTGTTTATTGAAACTGTCTGAAATGGATGGCAACACCGGCCTTTGTGGAGCATGGAGGCCTGTGCGGCCCTGCTGAGAAAGGGGGGAAGGACACAGAGGGGATGGCAGGCAGTGCCGCACTGATGTGACACTGTCCCCTGCGCCCAGTGGGCACAGCCGCTGACAGCAACAGGCTCAGACCATGTTTGGGCCCCAGCAGGTGCAGCCCCAAATGGACATCAAGAGTTCAGCTGTCCCATGTGTGGTGCTTTGCCCGTTTGTCTGAAGGACAAGTCCTGGGCTTAGATCCGGGGAAGTACTTTCTAAGTAAGGAAGAGTACAGGACAGAGGCCAGCCTGACAATTCACTCACTGCAGTCTGGCTGAAGGCACAAAAGGTTTTGAGGCAGCCAGCTTTAGTCACGGGTGCCTGCTCACAGGGGAGACACCACCAGCCAAGTATCTCATCCTGCTCCTCCGTGCGAGGCGAACCTAATGCTGAGGATAGCAAAGTTTTTCATGCACTTCTGCTTCAGCTTCCTCCTTTGACAATCAGATATGCACCCCGTAGGACTTCAACAACCAGCATTCTTGTATCATTTCTGTGACGCACCTGCTATTTTTTTATACATGAGCCCTTTGGGTCTGTAACTCAGCTACTTGGCTAGCTAGGCCTAGCATGCTAAGGCTTGTCTCGTGTTGGGTTGTCCATTTTCTCATTTTTTTTTTTCTGACAGAAGTGGGCAATTTTACTTTGAAGACCTCACCAAACATACAAAAATCTTGAATTTGTGGAAAACTGGAGGGTTAGAAATTTCTATTGACTGCATTCAGCAGTGCAATTTCACCGGATAGAGGCTAGTGCTAATCTAAGTTTTGTTATCAATTTAGGGAAAAGCCAGAGCAGGTATTACATGGGAGTCTGTACTGTTATTACCAGGCTGAACCAGCAATAAAGTTGCATGCATTTTTCTATAATCTGAAACTTACTGCTACCCCTTTTTACTGCCCCTGCTGCCCTTGCTCACTGACACATCTGTGCTGTGTGACCCCACCGAAAGAAAGTCAGGAACAAGAAAAAAATTACTCTTTTTTTGGTGAGGTAGGTGTTATGCAGAGTAACTGGGACTGTGCAATAAAAGGGATTTTCATCATAGATCTGATCTGGACACATACAATACAGTAAAGTGTTTCTCAGATTTGTACTTTGCTGGTTGTAGGAAATCGGTGATAACGTGTCAGGGCTTGATATACACACTTGATCTTGTGTGGATGAGGTCAAGCTATCATTACTGGTCAGGAGCAATTACTGCTGCAAAGATAAAAGTCATTTCCACCTTCAGAAGCTTTATGTTGTTGTAAATTAAGATATTGGTTTGAATTTAAATTGAACATTTCACTAAGAAACAAGCTGATATAAATTGATCCTTATAAGCCAAATACAAATTATTACAGCAGTCATTAACGTAACCAGCAGTAGGAAAATATTACAGCTATGAAACTGTGTGTTGTAATTACTGCTGTTATCTCAGTGCTTTATATTCAAAGTTCTCTGTTGTGGACACTATTAATGAATATTGATCAGAGAACAGAAAAAGAACTTCTCAATATTAAAAGTGGTTTAGCTGTATTTAAACCAAGACAGTTCCTTTTTTTTTTTTTTTTTTTTTCTGCCTTGGCTGTATCTTTAGACCCCTATCTAACAGCAGCTGTGATTTATTTTTAGCTTTTTTTCTTTGCATATTTAAAAGAGTGTTTCCGTATGGTGTGAAGCATAAGCTAGTATAGCAATTAACTGGCAAAGAGACTGAGCTTTACTATTCTGAATAACTCAGAAATCAATTTCTGCTATGAATCAAAGACATCTACACAAAGTGAATAGTACGCCTCTGATAAAGACACGTTTTATGGATTTGTCCAATCTAGGGACTCAGTGGTGCATACAAGCTGAATTCAAAAGAAGACATCTAGCAGTGGGTTTAAATGCCCATAATACCACGATGCTAGCTGAAGTGTTGTAGGGTTGTCTTTTTAATTCATATTATATCAATTGAATATTGCAGAAATCAGCAATATCCTTTCAGAAGCACTACACTGTACATGTTTGTAATGAAGCAAGATCCAAAGGCTACATTTGCATCTAAATACAATGATCCACGCAGAAAATATCTGGCTTTTATATATAAATTACAATGCTGCTCTGAATTGTTCTCTTTGAAGAAAAGGAAGCTCCATCTTCCAAAAGGCAGTGAACAACTGGTTTCATATTTTTTGGATAAGGTACAGTGATCTTATCAAGGCATGTTGAACATAAGGAGTTACAAAACTGTGACTATATAAATGGTTTTTTGTTCTACCATGTTCAACTAGTCAAACAGCCTTCAGTAAATAAATGATGTGAGTACAGAGCAAGCTCTTTTTGCACTGCATTTTAATTAAGAATTAATTAACAAGAACTCATAAAGAAATAATTAACTTCCAGATCTTTGCTTTTCTGTTTTGTTATTCCAAACAAATCTGTGGGGGTTTTGACCTAAAAAAAACACAAAAAGTCTTCACAACTAGAAAGCACCCTGATCTTATAGTTGTGCACATTAAAATTTTAACAATATAAATCAGTGTGGGGTTGTTTTTTTCATACTTACAAAAACCCATAGAATTCTCTGTCTCGTCCAGTTCTTTTTCAGAGACAAGGCAGTTGGTTTCTGATCTCTGTGCTCTCATCAGCAGGGATGGTGAGGAAGGGCTTAGGTTCCCTGTTCTGTTTTGCTCATTTATGCTGGTTTACAAAACAGGCACTTTAAACTTGTTGAATATCTTCAGGGCAGGCTAAGACCACCCTAGGCCTCCTTCAGGCCTTTCCAAAAGGGGCACTCCTTTACACAGTCAATTAAAAACCAGCAGTGAAACCTGCAGAGATCTGGCCAGACACACAAATCTGCCTTCTCAACGCATGGCACTCTGTCTTCCCCAGCTCCCTCACCCTGTTATCGCTTCAGCTTGGCCCCTCTCCAGGCTGAATCAGGTGTAGCTAGTGGGTATGAGCTCTACCCAGCCAGAGCCCCTCTGCTGCTTCCCAGCTCATAAAGGGACAGAAAACCCATCTGCCTGCAGCACTTAAATTGAGGAACTTATTTGGGAGTCAGCTTAGAAAATACTGCTTTTTAAGCAATTGCCTAGCACCACAGCAAATCTCTGGCACATGGGATAGACCCTAACTTCTCTTCATTGTGCACAGCCACTCCTTTCTCTCCTGTTCCTTCTGAATACGCCTGCATTGCAGTCACTGTTCAGAGAAGCACTGCCAGACTGGGTTAAGCTCACTCAACTCCTGCTAACTGCTGCTGTAACAGCAAAAAACCCTCTTACAAATGCTGCTTCAGCAGATTTGTGCATTGCTCTGCTTTTTTTTTTTTTTTTTTTTTTTTTTTTTTTAATTATCTGTAGTTCAGTTAGACAAAACTTTTAAAAGTGAAGGTCCGTGGTCTGGCTGTCTGAAGAGCTGTGCACCCAGGAATTCTAGGAACAAGTTGTTTATTTAGATGCATGGATTCAGGCATCCACTTTTTAATAAGCAGTTGCCCATTGTAACTTTGTGAACTTCTGCTATTGAAAAGATAATTATACTGGATAATTACATTTCCTTGAAAAAGACTGTATTTCTGCATATCTCTACTCATTTTTTCTTGAAATTCAATAATAGTCACCAATCTTCTTCTTTCTTCTCATAATACTCAGGAGTTTCCAGTATACACCTTCAGGGATGAAATGTGTGAATTTCTGCACAACTCTCTCCAAGGACTTTTTCTCTGTTATTATGGCTGTGTTTATCCCAGGCTCTCTAGGGACCTGTTCCCTCTTTACCTCCCTTCAATGCTTCTGTAACAATGACAGGAATGGGAGAAACTTGATTGAGGGTACTGGGATTTGCTTCCCCAAAGCCAGGACAGGTTTTGGTCAAGGTTAGATAGTCCAGGACCGAAATCTCTGTGCTCTGGCTGCAGTACAAGAGATTTCTCTTATCACAGAGGGAGGACTGCTACACAGTCATCCGAATTCTGTGGAGGATCAGGTTCCTGCATATGGCTATACATCTCTGGCAGATTTATTGCATGCTGAAATACCTCCACCAACACTACATGATGCTGCAGCTGTGTTACCGGACGTGCAACAAGACCTACATCCACAGCACATCGTTGTCCTGACTTGTGTCCATTAATCTTCATAACGTGGGTGTCTGGTAGCAACTTGTGTTGCATGGCACAACTCACCACTTCTGGTCCTCAGTTCAGATGGCCAGATCAGAGCAGGCTGGAGCTCTCTGGAGAGCAAAAGGAGCAGGATTCCTCTGCTCCTCTACCAACTGGAGCCTCCTACACCACATTGGTGGCACTGGCAGTAATGCTGCTGTTGCTATGTACCAATGTGTTTGCTAAGGAAATGAAATCTCTGGACTGCTGAAAATGCTTTCATTGTTCATTCATACATGATTAATTGTTTACATGGTCATCAAATTGCCCTCTGGAGGGTATGATGGGAAAATAAGTCCTAATGATAAAGTACACTGTCAAAATTGTCCTCATGTAGTTTTAATTACTTTGGGTGTTAAGCATAAACTCTACTCCAGTAGACAATTATTCCACATATATTTTATAGTGGGTCTAGATGTACACATAAAATTAATTGATTCAAAATGGAATACACTGTTTAGACAGCCAGCTTTTGTTAAGGAGTGTGCTCCTATCATTAAAGGAGGGAATATAGCTGAAGTAATTTATGAATGACAGGTGGAACATAGTATTGAATAGCAATGTGCTGAGCATGCTAGATACTGAAAAACAAAAAATATATATTTTTGATTGTCTCTTTGTGTATAAGTGGTGGCACTTTCAGGAGCTGTTCTTTCATCCTTGAAGGCTCAGACTGAATATGTGAGAAATTAATTAATATGTCACTACACAATTTCATCTGTGGGACAGCCATGCCTTTGCTAATATAATTAGAAAAGCACATCTTTCAGTATTTCTATATATGGTGTAGTCTGTGAAGGTGAAAATGGCAGTGAACTTCTCCTGAAAAATAAATAAATAAATAAAGACTTGTTGGCAACTGGGATGCCAAAATACATGCCCTTATCACAGCACACAGGTCCAAAGGCTTACCAGCCACTGGAGCATGGCTTCTCCTTGGTGAGGTGCATGTCAGACCCAGGCCACTTCTATCTTTGTTCGGTTTGCCATCTTTCAGCCTGGAAAGAAAATTTGAATGTAGCATCTTCCAAACATCACTCAGGACCTAAGAGTAACCAAGCTGAGTCAGATCCATCTAACCCAGGTTCTTCTCTCTAGCTGGGACCAATAGCAAAATGCTAAAGGAAGGGCATAAGAAAAGGACAAGCACGTAGTGCTATTTCTCTGATAGTCTCTCCCAGCTTCCAGTGAGTTGTGGCTCAGGGACTTCCTTAGCTGGAGGTGGTATTTAATAGCCTATTAAATGCACTCAATGGTAGGTACTTAATACGTAGCATGTATTTAATAGTGCTCAATAGATTATTCTTCCATTAGTTTATCCGAGATGCTTTTTTAACCCATGGAAATTTTTAGCATCCAACGTACCCTGTGGCAAGGAATTTCATAGCTTAAACTGGACCCTGTGTGAAAAATATTTTATCTTATTAACCTCAAATTTGCTGCTGTTAGTTGCATTTTTTTGCCTCTTGCTTCTTATATTTAGAGAGACAGAGAACAATCATTCCCTATTCACTTTCTCTGTGTAACCCACAAATCTGTAGATTCCACTGTTTCCCCTCAGACGTTTCTTTCTTTCTTCCCTTTGTCTTCCTTTTCTCCCTCTGTACACCTGTTTCAGTTCTACCTTCTACTTATTGGGATAGGGAGATCAAAACTGCATACAGCATTCAAACTGTGGGTTAATATTCTGTATACTAATAATTTCTGACTTGTCCTTTATTTTTTTCCCAGTGTAGTTCCTAACATGAAACTTGTTTTTTATCAGTACTATGTATAGAGCTGATACTTTCAGAGAATTATTTATTTTAAATCTCATTCCTTTGTGGTTCAACTTGGTCAGAAGCCATCACTGCATATATAAAGTCAGAGCTGTTTTTTGCTGTGTTCATCACTTTGCATTTACCTTCATTGAATTTCATCTTCTGTTTCGTTACCTGGCTCACTCAGTTTCATGAATCTGTCTGTATCTATTCAGAGTTGGCCTTTTCTTTTCCTACACAAATACCTTAGGTTCATCTCACAGTGCTACCTTGCCCTCAGAACAGTTATGAATATGTTGAACAGAACAAGCTCTCATGGGCTCTCTTCAGGGCTCTGTCTCCCTGGAGTGACCTTCCCTTCTGTGAAAATAGACCTTTCATTCATAGCCTTCATTTGTTATCTTTGAAATAGGAATTTATCCAGGTGAGAACCAACCTTTTATATACCATAAAAATTTGTTTTCAGAAGCTTTAGGTGAAAGAGTCTTTAAAATAGCTTGTTAAAGTCTATGTAGAATAGGTCAACAGTATGAGCTGTTCACATTTGTTGACTCCTCACACTCTGGTACATCTTGGAGACCTTCCCAAAAGCACTGTTTGCTGTTAACATATTCGATTTTTGATGCGTCCACTCATTCTGTTCTTTAGAAGAGGTTTGATGAACTCACTTTTTTGACCTTTAGTGTAATTTCCCCCAGAGGCCAAGCAGTGCCATCAGCTTGAATTCCCTATAAACAACGAGCAGCGGCAGCTGAGGGCTTTGAGCACACCTCATGGAGTGACAGTATCTTACAGACCCAGGCCCAGGCTGGGCTCTGCTGCCATTGCTGTGAGAAGGTTTTGGTACTGCAGTTTAACTACTCTTGGCTCACTGGATTCTGTCCCAATGCTAGGAAAAGTAAGATTTGCTTTTTAACTGCTCTCCTTTTAAAAGTAAGAAGGAGTCCCTGGGAAAGCCCATCCTATGAGAAAGAGCACCAGGAGCTGTGGATTGTGGGATTACACTTGCTAGATTTACCACTCCATTTTCATTCACAGACCAACTATTGCACCTTCTTCATCTCCATTTTTAGACCCAAACTAAACTTTTAGACTAAAACCTTTTTTCAGCCTTTTAGAAATAACCCTCACCACAGTTCTACTAGCAAGATCTGCATTTCAGAAATGGTGGTGTCTGCACATCTACATTAGCATTTCAGTTCAGATCACAAGTCTGCTTTTGAAGTGAGTCTCCTGATCATGCTCTATCAGCCATGGTTTCATTTTCATCCTGGAGTGGTGTTGGAGGGCATGAGATGAAGTCCTTTTGGATGTAACAAAATGAGGAGACACCTGATGTACTTCAAACAGAAGTTGGCATTGAAACCATAGGGCCAGACTAGAACTGGTCCAGAAACACTCCCTGAAAGATGCAGACTTCTGATGCCATTACATGATTGTATTGCAAACCTTGTAAAACTACAGCTTCCTCAGAGGATGTGGACGCTGGATCTTCAGCACCAACTGCTTTGCTATACAAATCACTTCACTGTTTGATGTGACTGGCTAATATAAACAGCCTATAGCACATGGACAAGTCAGCAGCAAATGACAAGAATCTGCTGTGCTCAAATGACTGAGAGGAGAAAGGAAAATGGATTAGAAAGAGCCCTTATCTTCTGAGTGCTGAGAAAAACCACGAGCACCAAGTTCTGAAGTGCAAGATTATCAGCTGTCACCCTCCGCCTGCCACCAGCCTTGATGAAAGTGCCTGTGCAGACACTACCTCCATTGCCTCACTGGATAAGTTTGTTTGTGGTTACACCCACCTGTGTTTCTGCTGTGCGAATCATACCAAAAGCACCAAGAGGAAGGAAGACAGAGGCGACACTGCTACTTCTAGTCTGGGGATTCGAGTAACAGAGATCAGAAAATAATGCTGCAATTAAACTCAACTGAACGTTTCTCAAAAGAAATCCAACAAGACCTAGCCCAAAAGACTCAGAACCAAATGCATTTAGCTGACAACCAGTTACATTTGCATGAAGAAATTATTGGTATATTCCTCCTCAGCAATCCATTTTTGGTATTACCACTTTAAATTCTTTTGTACCTAAATTCATAAGATCAAGTCAGAATATTAAGCCTTTCTTGTACAGCTAGGATATTGATTTGCATATAAACATAGCTATTTAGTTCCCTTGCTATTTATTCTCAATTTTAAATGTTTGCAAAATTGCAGCCTGTTTAACCGCATTTTGAAGGAGCTGCAGCTGTGTAATTCAAATACGCAACGTGTTAGAAAAGGGCACCTCTAAAATAGATCAGTAAATTAAAAAAAATAAATTAAAAATTGGTACATCATCTTCCAAGCTTTTCCCATTCTTCTTAAAAAACCCACATGCCAGATCCTCAGGTGGGAGGAAAACCACCTTGATTTACACCGGCTGGGAAGCAAAACTGTTGGTGCCTATCCTGAGCTGCTGTGAGCCCACTACTTATTTCACATGCAAGCGCCTGGTGCCTGAGCAGAGCCATGTGACAGTCGGTGTGGCAATACAGCTTCCTCATACTGAATGCAAGTTTGCAGCATTTGTTCAGAATATATTCAATGTAGACGAGGTTTAGCCAAAGTGAATTACCAGTGATAGTGTGCAATGGCTTGCATTTGCACACAGAGATCTGATGAAACCATTAAAAAATGGGAAGTTTGGGTGTCACGTCTGTACTGGTGAGCAGACAACTGTTACAGTGAGAAAAAATAAAAAATAAGCCCACACTTTTAAAAACACACAGACAAGGTAAAAATCAGCTAGATCAGCTTCCTGGCAACAAAGAAAAAACATAGTTTTTTTGAGGTCACCAGGCTGTTTGCTAACTGGGAAGAAATGTGGAGAAAATCCGGTATGCGAGATGCAGTTTTTAAATGAGTTGCAGTTATATGCAGATATGTATTGATTCCTGGCCGATCCCTCAAATAGAGATGAATGAAACAGCAACAGTAATAATATTTACACACATCTAGCCCCATACGTATCTGGGAGCAGACTCCTCTATTCTAACCTAAAGCCAGTAATGCCGTGTGACTGCTTGCTGCTTCTCCCAGGCTCTGCATCTGACAGCTGATGGTGTGACTGTACATGCAAAATCCCCCCTGTAACACACAAAACCCCTTTGTCTGATGCCATTCATTCCGGTAACCATTCCTGGTCAGCCAGACAGGTGTCAATCAAAGTAATGCCTCTCAACACAAAGCCAATCTGTCTCTGGTTGCAGGGTTTGAGCCAATTTAATTTAATTTATTAGAGTTGAAAGGAACCTTTGCCTCTGTGACAATGGGTGAGACAGTTTGTAATGATTCTCATTTAATTGATGAATGTAGACTTGGCACTTGACAATTAACCAGACGTGTTAAGACACTGGGGGTGAAATCCCAAAAGGATTTCACAAGCATCTTCATGATGCCGAGGTTTACTTTCCTACAGCAAGTTCGTCTGCAGCCTTTCTCAGCTGGGCAAAGCTGGAGCTGCTCAGCTGTGTCTCATGGAAGCAAACATCCACCGTTCAGAGAAATCATCTTGCTGTGCAGGAGGAGGACCCAAGTCCCATCTCTGCTCTCAGTGTGAAACCCTTTGTGCTCAAAATACACAGCCTTGTGGCTAGTCTATTCCTGCACAGTCCTGTGCTACGTGGACCTTCTGCCCCTGATGCACCTGTGCACGAGTAAGGGACATTTAAAAATGCATTAACCACAAAAAGCCTACAATGAATTAATCATTCTGCACAAGGCTGCTCTGAAGGAGAAATTTTGCTTTCTGGAAGCACTTTTTTTTTTTTTCCTACCTCTTTTCCTAGCACTGAAACATAACTTGTTTCTACGTTTTGTCCTTTATGGTTGTCTGATTAACCAACCCACTTTGATTAACTTTTCTGTATTAATTAACACACTTTCAACCCTTCTAATCACATATTGCTCAAGGGTGGTTATTGTAGAGTCACAGATTTTAAATCCAGGGTGCATCATTGCATCATAACACCCTCCAATTTTACCCTTTACCCTGGGAATGCCTACTGAACTCCTATCTGTTGACTGAATGAGAGCATTTTTAGAGGAATTACAATACTGGTTCAAAGATTTAATGCAAGAGAGAAGTTAACCACATCCTCTCATGAGCTGTTGCATTGGTTGAGATCTAGATTTTATTTTTAGCTTGAACTTGCCCAGCCCCAGCTTCTACCCACTGAATCTGTAGGACTTTTTTCTGAACCGTGTCATTTACAGACTGTGACAGACCACTTCAGAATCTCCTAATTGACAGGCTAATTAGATTTTTCTACAGACGTTTTTATCTTTCTCACCAAAAGAAAAACCCTGGAGAACAGCTTTTGTCCTCATGCTTGTTCCTCTACTTCACAGCAGAGTCTCCTGATTTGCACTGAAGCTGCTCCTCACCAGCACAGTACTCTCCTCACCAGGACAAAATGTCTCAAGGTCCATCAGACTATCACTGCCCTCGCCCCTGCCTGCTCTGGTGATCATCCAGCCAGCACCAGCACCAGCACCAGCATTGGTTGCTGCTTCCATTTTTCCATAGCCTTTCTGAAGTGCAGCCTCCAAAATCTGGATGATATTCAAACGTGACACTGCGATATTTCTTCTTGGTGATTTCCTGTTTCTCCAAGCCTCCCGTCAGTCTTCTGACCCCACATGTCCCACAGGGAGCTCATGTTCACCCATCACCTAGGAGGCCACCTAAATCCTTTGCGCAATCCCTGATCTCCCCATCAGTCCACATTCTAGGCAAGCCACAGTCACTCAGATGTTTTTATTTTTATTTTTATTTATTGACAACTAATTTGTCTTTTTTTTTTCCTTTTTTATTTTATTTTATTTTTTTTAATCATGTTAGTCCAAGGGTTTATACTCCAATAGGAATTGTTCTGAGAACTCCTCCATGCAATATCTGTAAGTTTAGTTAGCATGTTTATGCCTGCTCTGTCCCCTGGTGTCTGCTCTGTAAAGAAGTGTTTTAATATTGTTTTAAAAAGTGATGTTCAAATTTGTTCTGACATACTTCAGATTTGCTTTACCTCCTTTTCTCCTTCTCCTTACACATTCCTCTGTCTGCAGCCTACGTTTTCTGCCTGCCAGCTAAAAGGAGATTTCAGAATTTTAAAAATAGCTATTTAAAAGCAACAAACCAAGGCTGAAACGAAATACAGCAGGGAAGAGCTGTTCTGGGGAAACTCAGGAAGTTAGAATACGCCAGGGCTTTCCTGCAGGGTTTTAATGGCGACTGCATGTAGCTGCAGAGACCTAAACCTACACATTAGCTGAACCATCACTGTGAGAGGTCTGTCTTTCATGTGAATGCAGCTAATTGCAGATTTACATTGTGAAGAGTAATTCCAGAATTAAATGAATTCAAACTAAGTTTTATTATGTATCCTTCTGTTTCTGTGAAATCTTACTCTCCCTTCCTGAGAGTTTACAGGCTAAATCTGGATTTAGATGTCTCTGTTTGAGCAAACAAACTCAACCAATTTTTCTCCATGGTATTTAATGAAAAAGAAAATGCCACGAGGCCTTTCCCTTTGGAAATAATCAGCTGCGAAAAGATTAGTGAAGATAGATTTATGTTCAGACTGTCCCCTGCAGCGAGGTTAGGGGGTTAGGGGGTACATTCATCATATACATCAGGATTAACTCAGTTTCTGTTGTAGTACTGCGGTTCCCTTTAAAATGTATAGCCACTGACCTACTTTTCAGGTGGCTTGGTGAAAGTCACTCCAAATCCTTCTGGCATTTCAGCGCCATAAAATTGTGATGTTTTGCTGGAATAGAGCATCTTTCTGAAACAGCAAATAATACAAAGGTAAGTCACACAGCTGAATCTGGAATCTCACCCTTGGGAAAACAATTCTCGTTTCTGTAACAGGAGCACACAAACAGCGAGCCCCTACTAAAATGCCCTTCAGGAATTCGTCTCCAAGGGCAGGCTCTGTCCCCAGAGATCTCATCATCTTTGATGCCTTTGTTCTTCTGCTCTTCTCTTTTTTTGTACGAAAGTTACCGGTAGACTTTCTTCTAGCTTTTATTTCACCCTTATTTTTAATTCATGCAAAATAGTAGCTTTACTAAAAACAGGCCTATGTTTATGTACAATTGTGCCAGCTGCACACTACCCAGCACTGTCTATCTCAGTAATTCCTGAGGCTGAGATAACACCAGCTTTCTCCACAGTCCTCACACACTGCTAGCACTGTCTCTGTGTAAAATCCCTGTAGGAATATTGACCAGCCTGGGAGCGAGGTGGTAAGAGCCCAGGACTGGTCTGTCCTGCTCCTTCTTCTGCTGTTTGCACCCATATATCTGGAGTAGGACACATGGTAAATGTGTGTCCATTTAAATAAAAATGGACACACAGCATTGGCATCCTGAAAAAAAAAAAAAAAAAAAAAAAAAAAAAAAAAAAAGGATGGAAGGATGGCCACGTGTGATAACAGCAGACAGAAAAGCAAGAGCTTACAGGGAGCAAATCCTTAATCACTATCTTAAACACAAGGAAGATTTCTCATAAATTAAAAGCTACCAGGTTATTATCTTAGGTTCTTTAAAGATTTGTTTCTGATTTGACAGTATCAGCCTCAGTGTAAAGTGGAACAACAGTTTCGGCAGTGACCTTACAAACTCCTGAAGTATGTTATTTTATAGCAGGAGCTCTGGCAGACGCTGTATCTGCTGTATCACTAGCATTACAATGGTAAAACGATCTGCTGCACCTGCTTTAGCCCTTTTGAAGATCTGGTGGGCTTATTAGAGAGCATGTTTCTGCTTTCAGCCCCAGCTGTACAAGACTGCCCTAGAAAAGAGGGCATGTACATCACTCCCAGGCATCTCGAAATCCACATTGATTTGTCTTGCCCAGTAATTACACTGGTATTTCTGTAGTGGGGTTATACTGTATAGCCAAGGGGGAAGGCAAGAAAAAGGAACTGATGAAGGAAAAAAGGACAAAGTCAGCGAATTAACTGTTCTGCTGAAGGATATGCGGTATATTGCATATTGTTTCTGCAGAACTTTTTTCTTCAGAACAATATTGCATTTTGTCTCTTTCAGAACTGGTCACCAGTTCAAGGAACTGATAGCAATATTTGAAGTAGTCTGTGTTTCCATAAGAAATGCTGGAGGATAACTAATATAAACATTATGATAGTTCAAAAAGTGATGTGCACTTTTTATGAGCAGCGAGAATTTTCCCTCTACTACCCTGCCATGTACATTGGAGACATAGAGACCAGCTCTCACTGGTGCTGAAAAACCCACCTGACATACTGCAGAAGTGCCAAGAGGGGCAACTCAAGTGGAGGCATCAAGGTTGCAAACGCAGGAACCAACTAAGCAGCCTAAAGTTTGTAACATCTGGAAGAAAAGCATCTGAAAATGTCAAAAAAGAGTTTGTATCCAAGGAAACAGAAGGTTTGTGTCCAGCGGGACAACTGACCCCTCCAACAGGTCTCCTGGAAGTAAACTAGTGTGTCCAATGAAGACATTAATTTGGCTTGTTTTCTTTTATACTTGTCTTGTTAAAAAAAAAAAAAAAAAAAAAAAAAAAAAAAGCAGACACTTCTGTGAGTGAATGTTGCAGAGTGATATAGGGTACTGGCTGCCAGGAGTTTAAAGAGTCTTCAGAAAATTGAGGATTAAATGTCTTTCCTAACATTAACACTGTACTAAATCAAAAGCTTTACTCCCCTTGAATTTGAAATAGGTGTAGCTATAGAACTAAGCAGATATCCTTTGAAACAGAAAGGCCTTTTTATCAAAAAGGAAATAGTTCCGGAGTTTGCCTGAGGCATGTTTCTTTCCATAAGATTTGGAAAGGTGGGAAAAGAAAGTGGAAAAATCTTTCATCTAACTTATTTTAATACACACATATTACATTTTTGCATTTCATATAATGGCTTGCTTTAATTTTATTCTGTCTGTAATTTTTCTCTGTGTGACAGATTTTGTTTGCCCCTCATTTTAAACACATCCCTGTCTTGGGGCACCTGAAGTACACATTTAGCTCAAAATTAATTTCTGCAGTTTTAATTAATTATGAGGGCTGTATTAAAACAGAACTTCAAGGTTATTTGTAAAATCCTTTTTTCTTACTTGTAAGATACCAACAGAGAGGGTAGATATACATAGCCATATAAATCATTCTCAAGGTTGAAAATAGATTTATTAATTTGCTTTCAGGTCTTCCAGGCTTCTCTTCTGATTGTGTAACAACCCAAATACCATCGGTAGAAGCCTGAAACAAAAAGTATTGCAGGAGTAAAAGTCTATGTGGGGGCTGGACCCCCAAGGTACACCAGGATAGGGTTACCTCTCCACCTGTGAGCTGCTCCTTTGAAGATGCTGGGGCCCTGTGGTCACTCGTGCCACCTGTAGCCCTCGTGATAGCACTTCTCACTGCATAGAAAACCACAAGCCCGTCATTCAGCTGCTGCATTTAGTGATTTTACTTATCACTCTGCAACATTTGCTCACAGAAGGGTCTGTTCCTTTTTTTTTTTTTTTTTTTAACAAAACAAGTATAGAAGAAAACAAGCCAAATTAATGTCTTCATTGGAAGCACTAGCTCACTTCCAAGGGACCTGTTAGAGAGGTCAGTTGTCCCACTGGACACAAAGGATCAGAATCCTTTAATTTGACCTCCAGCTTGCTGGTAAAGGAGGTTAGAAAGGTCAACTGCTCTAGGCTGTAATCCTTCAAACCTCTTCCTCAATGTGGCCAGCTGTGAAAAGAGTTCACAAGGTGCAACATTTGTCATTCAAACTGAGCATTCAGCCTGGCTCCTTCCACCCCTGAGCCCTGCCAGACTGGAGACCCTCATCCAGACCACGAATCTACCCGAGGCTGGGGAGGCAGGACCCGTGTTTCTGCTGGGGGTGGGCAGCAGTGTCTCATCCGCTATATGCTGATTCTAGCGCAGGATAATTTGCACCTTGAGAAATGTAATTCACCTCCTGCATCACCACAGCTGCTTCCCTGGGCCATGACTTTAGCACTTTCCAGGCAGAGCTTTCCTGCTCTCTGCATTTTTCTGGTGTTTTGTGAGTAATAATTAATCACTCTTAGCCTAAGGCAAAGAATTTTTTCTAGCCTTCACAAGAATCAACCTTTTACCTAAACGTGTGACAGAATGGCAATAGTACTATTTTTCCTTTCAATAATCTTTCTTTCTCTCTCTCTCTCTTTTTTTTTTTTTTTTTTTTTTTGGCAAAAAAAAGCTACTTTTGAGCATTAATAGCCACAATGTGTTCAGGTTCATTACACTTGGCAGGTGGGCTATTAATTGAACTAGTGAATTCAGAAAGTCTTTTTTTACTCAATTCCTCAGGCAGGTTTTGATTTGTTTCCAAATGCTCTCTCCTCATTCTGGCTAGACATTTGTAATGGGCTCTGCTATGGTAATGGCTTGGATTTCTTGATATTTCTGTTTTTTTCAGTCTGTTTTTAATGGTTACTTCAGCTTCTTTACACATGATGCAGTGCAACTTTGTCCATATTGCTCCTTGATTCTCAAAAAACAGCAATATGTCTTGAACTTTGCTGCAGCAAACTGCAATTGTGTAGTTATCACATTTTCAATACAAAGACGGGGAGCTCAGATAGACTAAGCAATTTGTAGATTCAAGCATGATGCTTGTAACTGCCATTAGACGTCCGCCTGCCTTCCTAGTAATTAGATTCAGATGGGGTTTGGTCAAGCTCACTTGCTATACTGCTTCTCCTAGAAAATGATCCTACATGTTCTTGAGCAGTAGTTTAAAAAATGTTGAGGGAGCATTATATCACAGCAGCCTTCAAGATTTTATTTAAGGTAGATATGAAAAAAAAAAAAAAAAGTAATTTATTTAGTTTGTATATATAGTCATTTTTAATATTAACAATGAAATTCCTGACTGAATAATTCGTATACAGATTTCTAATACTTGTGAAAAAAAATTGTATTGATGAAATGTTCTGAACCAAAATATTTTCTCAGTCAGTTACAGCCATTAGTTTTTGTGTTTTTTTTTTTTTTTTCCTCTTTCCCAACCATCATCTACAATCAATGTTGGAGATGCTATCATTAATAAAACTTTTCCAGTCCTCTATCATCATACTGAAAGTCTGATACTCAGAAGTCAGGTGAAGAGAGCAAACATTTTCCCTTGTCCCAGTCAGGCTATCCCCAATGCAAAAATAAATAAAGCCATAAAACCAACGATATTTTCCAGTAATGAATCAAGATAAGATGAGTAACAAATTGCTCCTGAGTAGCAATACCAAAGCACTGTCAGCTAAAATGCTGCCACGGACACCTGCTCACACCCTCTGAAAATAAACTGCTGGATTGTGTCACCAGAATTGATGAGCCCAAAACTCTAATGTCTCATGACAATAGGATTCCTGGGTGGAAACCTGTTTGTGGAAAACTACTGGGCATATGTGCAGCGGACCTCACTCTGATCCCTTGTAGTTGTGCTGCTGAAGAGTAATTACAATGGAGACAGGGCAGCGAGGCACTCAAAGCTCAGCAAAGCGGGTCCATATTCAGTTAGGCTTTCAGAGCTCACCTGCAGTGGGAAGGCTGACCATTTGCTAAGTCCGATCTCAGGTCCAGGTTCTGTGGGGCAGTGACAACAGCTGCTTTGTTCTTCTCCTTGTGTAACCACTGAAGAGAAGCAAACTGCATGTGGAAGTGGGCTTCCCCATCGCTGGCGTCATGAGGAATTACTTTGTCAGTTTAATGAATTCCTCTCCTTTGGAGGAAACCTTGGCCCAGTGCTTTTGTAAGAAAATTGCTCGCTTGCCCACAAGGACCCAGCATTAACCAGGATGCAGAACTAACAATGATCGTCTCAGATAAATCGGCCACGCCAGGGGCCGTTTCTTTGACAGAGCTATTTTACACGCCTCAACCATAATGTGATTTGTCATTGATTTCAGAGATGCAGTAGTCACTCAGGCTCTCACAGGGTTTTTTGGACTGTAAGAAACTTCTATTAGATTATTTAATGTCCTCTTGCCGGTGGCAGTTTCTTACTGATGTGCTTCTTGAATGGAAGCAATGCTTTCTTACCAACCCCCATACCTCCTTATAGAGTCCTCTTCCTATCCACAGCGGCTTGGTTTCCAGAGGTGCTTGTATCCTCGGGTCCTTTTGCCCCTTAAAGAACTAGAGCTGCTCAGACCTTTTGAAAACCAGGCCAACAATGTACAGACAGAGGGGTAGTTGTTATCTTTGGGGGCAGGTCAGGGCAATGACATAATACGCTCTGTTAAGTAATGACAAAGTCCATGTTAGATGGAGTGGGTGGATGAGAGGCTGGAAGTGAGGCAGGATGGGGATGATGAAAGAAACACGCATCAGCCTATTCAACGTGTTTGCCAATGTGGAAGGAGAGTGTGGAGGATGAGCCTCTCCCTGGTCTCAAAGCATATAGTTCATGCTATATCACACAAAGAGGCTTGGGTGAGGGACACTGGAAGGGCTCATTTTAACAGCACTTCCTTTCATTAGTCACCCAGAGGAAATTTACATTTGTGTAGTTTGGTGTTGCATCCTTGTTATAATAGGTTTGCTTATACTATATACAAATGGTAATTAGGGGATATCTCAATGCATCTTCAAAAGATATTTCACTTTCCCCAAACCACAGAACCCTGCAGGCTGAGAACTCAGAGTTTTCCCCAATTACTTATTAAAACTCCTTTAATGAGTATTTCTACATGAATAAGAGATGTGGAATTAAGACCATGCCATACATTACATAAAATAGGAATTAATTTAGGGACTGCAGCCAACTGCAGAGCTGCCTGCTCTAGCAGAGTTAGCACATTTTTGGGTTAACGTGTAAATTGCCCTCTAATGCTTCACTTATGAGTACCTAAGCACATTTGAAGGCTTGCTCTTGCCATAGTGGGAAAGTTTTGTTCCTTCTCCTCCTTTTCCTTCTCCTCTAAAGCAGACCTCATCCCAGTTACATAGACCCGACCTCCTCAGTTGCAGTGGCTCTGGAGCTTGTTTGACTTGCCTGTGAGCTGATTCAATGCACTGACCCAGCAGAAAACTGTGCACCTGTTTCTTCCTTGGTCATGTTTCCACTTGGTTAGTGAATGGCATTAAGTGAAGGAATTCAGACATCAGAGCTGAAAAAAGAGAAATGATGGGATTGCATGGCTGGGAACAGGGCCTCCTTGTCCTGCCAGAGGTGCACTGCTGGCTTAATGTGCTCCATCCCATGAAACTGAAAACGAACTGATCCAGCTGGAAAATAACTTGTCCGTCCAGCTCACTTGCAAAGAGTTGCACTGGCACAATGTGGGGCAGTGGAGGGCTGAGCAAAGGACTGAACAGGCTGCTCCAGTCCTGGAAGGTGGTGAAGGCAACGCACATCCAGCTGCACCTTGCTGCTGCTCTCTGTCAAAATGTTACAAGCCAAGGGCTGTGACCTCCATCAGCTCCCATGCCTTTACTTCTTGTGTTAACTTGCAGCCCTGCAAGGCTGACTACTACCAACAGCAGCTTTTAGGGCTAAAGGTTATATTAGGTACTCGATTTTTCTGGTATTTTTAATGTGCAAAAAATCAACAGAAGTGATTGAGAAGAGTGGGTCACTGATACGCACGTACATTATTCACATATTATTCGGATATAATTGTAAAGTAGTGTAACATAGGTTGCAATGCAAGCTTTCAGCTGCCCTTCCTCTCCTTCTCCCTTATGCTATTTTTCACATTCCTTTGTTGCATTTTGGCTCAAGCTAAACTGTAAGGCCCTTGTGGCAGGGACCACGTCATTTATGTATCAGCACAAGGCCTCACATAATGGAGCTCTAACAGTGATCGGGGCCTTTGGGAATGCCTGTCACAGAAATGACAAGAGGGAATAGTTTCACTCTTGCAGAGTGTAGAATTAATTGTGCCTGAGAGTGCTTGATTTGTGCCAGCCTTTTTGAGGGACTTCATCTTTTCCTTTTGCCTGCACAGTCCCTTTTCCTCCATTTCTGCCATTGCCTTCACACACATGGGGACACACTTTCTGTTTCGACTCCATGACTGGTCCTTCCCATTTGTCAAGAGACCACAGGTTACCTCCTTTCCTTCATACTCTGCATCTCTCCTTTCCTTGCTGATCTTATCCCGTATGCTGAATAGGTCTGCAAATAAAGGTTAGTTAATGAGCAAACCCCACTTTCATTGATTATTGTTTGAAAGAGAAGCATATAGTAACTTTTATTCCTAAATACAGGGGTAGATAAATTAAACCAAATGGCATTTGGAGCTAGAAGACAAAGGTCCACCTAGAGAGGAGGTGGGCGAGAAGAAAGGTGAAAGGCAAAGGAGAGCTGACCTTGGACTTGATCTTTGTAGGTCCCTTCCAACTGAACTATTCTATTCTATTCTATTCTATTCTATTCTATTCTATTCTATTCTATTCTATTCTATTCTATTCTATTCTGATTTCCTTAGGAACCATCTTCAGCCTTGTTGATGTTTGAAGAGGAGCATAGGTTAAGATGAAAATAAAAATTACTATGGAAATACCCTTTTTTGTGCTGTATGTAGTGACTCTTGTCCAACAGCAAATATATGGTTTTGATTTAGCTTATATTTTTTTGGAAGGTTTTGGAAGGTTAGCTTATGTTTTGGAAGGAACTAATTAAATTTAAACAAAAGAAGTATCTGGAGGACTGGCAACGTCCACATCAGGTTAAGAGTTTTAATATTTCTACTGGTTTCAGTGTACCGGCATGTTTTGTGTATCCCTTGTGAATGCTTGAGAGAAATTGCTTTCTGCTGATGACATCAAACTGGGCCAGAAGATGCAGCTGAAGGGGGGCAGCTGCTAGAACATTGGTTCCCAATCTTTCTGGTCCTGTACACTAGTCTCCAAAATTTCCTTCAAATCACAATGCAATTTCATGCTTTAAACTGAAAACACTGTGAAGGCACTAAGTGTCAATGATGACCTACCAGGACTTTATGGGACATCCGTGATCCTTGTGTAGAGTTGGGGAACCACTGGTGCAGAATGAGGGAGGACAGAGGTAGAAAAAAGATCTTGATGAAGTGGCTAACTCCAGAAGCGCAAATTGTCATTGACTAGAATGACAAGAAACCAACACAATTGGCTGGGAAGGAGTTAAAGTCATTCTGATAGCTGGGTTCATTGCAGAGTCACCGCGTGGGATGTGGATGGAGATGTGAGGGGTGTCACAAAGCATCCTTGTTACCAACGGATTTGATGGGAACTCTGTGTGAAAAGGACAAGCAATGGAAATCAGACAACAACGTCAGAGAAAACCATCATTAGGTCAGCTACAATGTGTTGGGTAGTACAGTGGCATGTGAGGAACAGAGAAGAAAAACAACACCAGATTGACAAAATGACAATAACCAGCTGGATATTACATGAGCTGACAGACTACATGATAGAATAATATGCATTTTGTGGCGGGGGCTACATGGATAAACTGGGCTGTGCTCTTCTACACATGGGCGATGTTGTCTTGTGAGGACAGGAGTTGTTGGACAACGAGCATAAAGAAGGCTGAAGAAATAAAATAAATAAATAAATAAATACAAATTTATTTGCTGATGGCCATGCTGTATTTGGATTTCTATTTTTTTTTTTTTTTTTTTAGAAAAAGAGCAAACCAAACCAACCAACCAGAAACCATCTTCCTTCACAGGTAAGTCCTTGCTTGGCAAGCATCAAATGCAGATGCAGGCTCAGACCTCGAGCCACCTGCATGTCACATACGTATTACTGCAGGATGGAATAGGGGGCTTTGAACTTGTCCTCGGGAAGTAAGAAACTCACTGGGTGTTAGGTCAGTCCCCGCATGTGGGTGGAAACGTATAGTAATTGTGCAATTTCCCTAAAACTTCCCCCGAGATCTAAGTTAAAGCGTTCTGCCCTTGCAGCCTTTCCTGCCGTTGCTCTCAGAGCGCCCTGCACTCGGTCCTTGCACTTCTCTGCGCGATGAAAAACGCGGCGATCCCTTCCACTTCAACACCTTCTTCCTACATTAAACACCCCCCCAGGACCTACCCGGAGGTCCTTTTTGTCCTAACACCTGTCCTTCCCAGCCACGCTCGCGGAGCGGAAAGGCCAAATAACCATCACCATAATAAAAACAATGATGATAAAGAATAAGAATAATAAAATTCCTCCTCTCCCTCCCTTCCAGGCTGCCCACCGCGGGGACATGCGCACTCTCCGCGGGCCGCGCTCCGGCCCCCCCCGACCCTCCCGGCGGGCGGAGGAGGAGGAGGAGGAGGAGGAGGAGGAGAAGAAGGAGGGAGGGGAGAGCACCGCGCCGCAACTTGCTGCTGCTCCTCCTCCGTCGCCGCTGCCCGGCCCCTGCGGGCAGCGCTCCGCGGGCTGCAGGCGGCATCCGCGGGGCCGGCGCCTCCCGGTGAGTCGGGGCTGCGGGGGGCTGCGAGGGGCTGCGGGGGGCTCGGGGAGGTGCGGGGGGTTCGGGGAGGCTGCCCCCCTCCCCTGTCCGGGCTCGGCGGCCATTTGGGGGCGAGTTCCCGCAGGATGCGGCCCCGGAGCTGCGGGCACGGCGTTGTGCGGGTGCCCGGCCGCCGGGATGCGCGGCGCTTGCGGGCTTCGCTCGGCTGGGTTTTGGGTCGGGTGACAGAGCCCT